AAAGGCTTTTTTATTTATTCATTTTTTACAAAAGTGACATACAAAAGGAATAATTCATTATAGGCAGCTATAAAACGCTTATATATACATTTACATCATATGACAGAGTTCATCTCCCCTCATTTTAAACCAAACGTGTCTGAAGGAGGCGACCGTTCACACCTCTGTTCCTCAGAAACAGCTGGACAGACCACAGATGCTGAATTCTGACATCAAAACTCACCCAACATCTGCTTCACATTGACAGTTTCTAAAAACACAAACGCACATCTGTTTTATTCCATTTGGATGCATAGCTTTGAGCACAGTTCTCTCAGGGGTCTATTATGCTTTGATTTTTCTTTTAGGCACCAGAAGCGAAACATAAAACCAGTTTCATCATCTGAAGGAAAGAAGCATCACCGAGTCCTACTGTGCAGCTGACACAGGAATCCAAAATACTTCAGGATTTAACTTTAGGAGTAACGGAGAGCGAACTGCGACAGGAGGTGAACACCTTAAAACGTTCTGTGCTGGCAGGGGAAGTTTGAATTGAGTTTAAAATAAACCTGATTGTTCCCTTGCTTTGTTTTATAAATCTACATTCATCAGGCGGTGTAATGAAAACAAAATTGTCTTGAAAAGGTGGTTGAACTCATCAGCCCTCAATAAACAAACCACCTGTTTTTATATTTTGTTAAACAATCTGAAAACGCTATAAGGTGATAAAATGAAAACAATAGTTTAAGTTTTCTTAAGGGCAACATCTTCTGTTCCTGTTCCTTATCTCACCTTCAGGAGGACTAATTTACTTCCTGCTTTTAATGCAGGTAAAAATAACAGCCACGGCTCTGATTGCACTGCTGAATCTACAGCAGCCTGAGCCGTGGAAAGACTCCTAAACAACGTCTAAATACAGCTGATAGGTAGCAGCCTGCCTGTTTCACAGCTCCTTAATCTGCAAACTTTGTTCAGAGAGCAAAACAAATTAGAAGAAAACACAAATGCTGATTTTAATAGAGTAAGATCAGATTTCACGAGAATGCTCTTTTGAAATGAACCATTATGGAATATAGATGTACTGAAATTAGATGGAAATTGGACCTATATGTGCTCTTTACATTTGTTGGTTTAAAAATATAAATAAATTAATCATGTCCTGAAGTTTTATAATCTGTTACTGACTTTGGAGATTTATTTCCTCCCTTTTCAAATTTGACTTCCTGTTTATTAGTTATTGTTTGATCTTTCAACATCAACATATGAGGCATGTTTCCTTCTACATATTAAAGGTGCATATTCATGTTATTTGAGATTTTTCTTTTGTATTTATACACAAGTTGGATGCAAAGTTTCTTCTGAAAGATTACCATGTCCTGCTGGTGTATTATTTGCTATTGTTGTGTTTATTATTATTGTGTTTTTTAATAAATAAAGATCTTTGTGTATATTTACAGTAACAAAGGAGGTATGACCCTTCACATGTGTTCAAGGCGTAAACGTGCGGCTAAGCTACTGCCTCCCAGCGAGGCCTTGCAGCACAGTTGGGCTCTATTAAGCGGTCACCATTAGGGCTTTCTGACAGTTCTGCGGTGCTGCCAGTAGATGGCGGTGTGCCTGTTTATGTCTGCTCATTCCACCCAGAGCTGGAATTCTATTTAGGCTCAAAAAGGATCATTTATATCGGGATAGACGCTTAGTGTATATATAACACTTATTTTGTCATGATCAAATAGTGTTTGCTATTCCTTCTAAAGACATATAACATGACTATGAACCTTTAAAAATATAATAAACAGGAAGTCATACATTTTAAAGATGTTAAACACGCTTTAGAAATTGGAGAAAAATAAATGAATCTAAAGTTTAGTTAACTTTGTATGATTTAAATTTTTAGTAGGGTTACAATATTTGGGACCTTTTATTTTGTTAAACCCAATCAGGTCTTACAGTTTTTATTCATTAAAATACTTAATTCAGAAATGATATATTTTTGGGAAAAATCTGCAAGAATGATATTCATTTGTATGCTTTCTAAAGGGGGACATTTTTGAAGCGTAAACTTTAAAAAGCAATTTAGTTCAACATTTCAGTAATTAAACAGCCATTTTTGTTTAACCAATCAATTTATTTTGAAAGTCACGTGACCAATATACACTCATTTGATTGGCTGCTTGTTGTGCAGTGACCTAAAGGGTTCATTATTTTATTTTTTCATAACAGTTTTTTTCCTCCTCACCTTCCCTTTGCTCTTTAGCGCCACCTGTTGCTTGGATGAAGACTTTGCAACAGGTTGCTCTTTTAAACCAAAGATAAAGGTTTGTATAAGTAAAACAGATTAACAGATAAAAAAAAAACTCCCCTTCAGCTGTTAAAAAAAAAATTAAAACTAGGTTTGCTACTGTTTTGTTTAAACCAAATCCAAATTTCAAAGCAGCTAAACATCAAATTTAAATATAACACAAGCGAGTTATAGGACAGAAACAGTCGAATGTTGCAAGACAACATGTCATCAGTGCACTGCCGGCAGAGGATCTCTAATGAACTTCTTTATTGGAGTACAAAAATAATCTTATTTGAAAATGTAGCAGTAAAGCAGTTTTTTTTTACAAGGTGGAAACACCGTCGGCTAAAAAAGTGTTTTACCATCTAAGATTACAAAAGTTCGGTTTCTCAAATTGATTGTTCTGTCTGGCCTGAAGACTGACTCCTCCTTTAGTGCAATAAGAAGATAGAAAATTTAAATTGAAACGCTTGTTTTAGAGCGTTCGGAACTTGTTAACCTGGGAGTTTAAATCTAAGTTGAGTTCATGTTTATTTACAAAAAAAAAATCCAAAAAAACCTTGGAAATACTTTTTTATGTGTCGGAAATTTTGAACTTACATGTCAGAATAAGAACTCTCTGGTTGAAAAAGAAAAGATGTTGAAATAAAATGCTGGAAGTCATGTTCAAGGCCTTAAAGTTTTCTGAGATTTCAAGTGTTACTGTGTCATTCTTCCACTCTGACCTTCAGCCTCCTGTAAAAGTTTCTCCCATCATTTGGCAGCAGCGTTGCTTCAGAAAACATCGTTTGACCGTGAAAGTTTCATTTAGGAAAAGCAGAGCACAGCCACCCAGAAACCTCTCATAAATTGGAAAACTACATCACAAAGAAAGATTTTAGCAGAACGGAAAATCATGTTTTTGTGTGAAGACAGTTCATAAACTGATGATGAGTTTTCTGTTTTTTTTTTTCTCCTTCTCTGCACCACATCTCAGGAAAACGAGCATGAAAAAATGAACCTCTGACCCTGAATGTGGCTTTAAATTCCTCCCAACTCTGGTTAACACATTAGAGTGGAGCTGCTGCTTTCACACAATGTCTTTTATTAGATTAGATATTTTGGTAATGTGTGTTTGGTAAAAGCTTAACCTAAATCTTCTACATTCATGTTTATTTTTTCAAGTTTGTACATGTTTAGCAACCTGAAGCTATTGGTAGAAAAAAAAAAGTACACGTATAAATAAACAACCATTGGGTGGGGAAAAAAAAGAAATGTGACATAAATTATTGTTTTATAATAGTTCTTGAAGATCAAATTGAATATTAGCCGCTAACATGGCTAATGTGAGCTCCTGTCACTAATCGATCCGTACCATCAGCTCATTTGCAACCAGATATTCATCCACGTTGCCATAAAAAATGTAATTATGGTTTGAAAAATACTTAATTCTTAAATCAAGTCAGATTTTTAGACCTTTTTCTTTGTGCTTTTGTCAAATTTTGAAACCTTGAGGAGAACCAAACTGAGAAAGCTCTGAGGAATAATAATAATATTCTGCCTCTTGAGTTAGCTAGTAATTAGCATCTTCAGTTAGCATTGATTAGCATCTTCAGGCTAATTGCCTTTCCCAATCTTATACATTTTTAAAAACAATGCTGGACATAAAATGAAAAATGCTTAGCAGTAGCTGCAAACTGATTATAAATGTCTCTATAAGTGTCTCTATAAATGAGTTAATTCAAGCCTCACTTTCCTCAAACAGTAAGGCTAACATTAGCTTAACTCATATGAATTTCTGAATATAAAGGTCATTTTAAAACATATGGCTACTGCTGTGGGAAAACATTAATGAATGTGTTAAACCAAGTTATTTGATGATGACTTGACTTGACCAATTACTTTTTCCAAGAGAAAAATTCAGGCTATTAGCCTGTTGCTATGCTAACATTGTAGGAAGAATGTTAGCATAGCAGCTAGGAAGAAAACAGTACTGTCTGAAGAGGTGGGATTCGTGTCGCCTTTGTCAGATTTCTGACTTCATTCTTTCATAATTAAGATCTTCTGTTTGCTTTAAACCAAAGCCCAACACCAAAATATAATTTTTTATATGAAAAGGCTGATATTAAAAACTCGGACCAATATCAACATTCAATATTATGTATAACCCTTTGCTTCAGTTAAACATCAACCATCCTGAGCTAAAACATGATCGATGTCAAATGACCAGACAAAAATAAAACAAAAACAGCAGATGGATGAAAATAAACACCTTTTGTTACACTTGAAAAAAAATATTTACCACAATTTCTTTTTAATTTCAAATATATAAAGTTTATTGTTCCAATTGCATATTAATCAGGCTACCTTTATGCAATTCATACAATAAACTTTATGTGCTTGAAATAAATACACCCATTAAACATACTTTATTAATGCTAAATACATAAACCTGATGATTATGTATTCAAATAAATAGCTATATTTTACTATCCAATATGCATAATGTAAGGCTCATTTAATAGATGTGTGTTACAATGTCTAAAAAACTAGATGGGAGTAAATCTTATGATTGAGGTGAAATATTTTTTTTGTGTAATATCAGCTCAGTTTTTATTATCGGACTTTAAAATGACCTGATACCAATATTACTGCTGATTTATCATGCATTCCATTTGTCCGACCAGGACTTTCATTTTAAAAGATTTGTGTTTAGGACTCATTTTCAGAGAATTTACTGGATTTTTTAGAAAAAAAGTTTAAATAAAAATATTTAATGAGACTACTATTTTTCCCTAAAAGGAAGCTAATAGTAAATCTAGCTGATTTAAATGTGAAAAAAACAGACATTGTGTGAATGCAGGAGTCTCCAACCATAGAACTGAGTAGCTGAGGTTGTCTGGCTCCCCCTAGTGGTGCTGAGGCAGGGGGTCATGGCTGTGGCTCCTCTGTATGTAGGCTATTGCGTCCCTGTATGTGAGGCCCAGCTGCGGCCGGTCGTACATCTCACTCAGAGCCTGAAACTTGGGGCCCCACCGTGACAGCCTGTCATAAACATAGCCTGCTTCATTCTCCTCCTCCTCCCTCTCCTTCTCCCCAGCAGACATTCTCCTGCAGGACACAGCCGACCCCAAAGAGCTCAGGCTTCCTGCCGAGGACCCAGACCCCTCCACGCACCACACGTGGTAGGCATCTGGAGGGAAAGCGCCGCCGTCGTTGTCCGCCTCCCAAACGATTCGCTCCACGTAGCTTTTAAAGTCCACATGGGAGCGCGCCGCAGGCGGAGCATCAGCATACCTGCCCGCCTCATTCATCTCCATGTCCCTGCCTGCCTGACAGGCGTAGTTGGCGTCGTTGCTGCAGCCGGCGCCGACTGCGTTCTGATGGTGGTGGTGGTGATGGTGGTGATGAGGGATGCTGAGGTAGGGAGCACCTGAGCTGCAGGAGGAGCTGGACGGATGGACCTCCTCCTGGGAGCCTGGGGAGGACTTGATGAGCGGGGCGGTGGTGCAGGAGGACGACTGGGACAGACTGGAGCACAGAGGACGCTTCAGCTCCGTGATGTCGTATGCATTCTGAAAGGGTGGAAGAAACAAAAAACATGTAGTGGATAAATAAAATATCTCATTATCATCAAAGTGCTGCTGCAGACACAAGCATAAAGAGCTCATTTCTGTATGAACTTCATGAACTGGGTCTGCAGAAACCAGTCACTTTAACCGCTATGCGACATTTTCACATTTCTAGAATTTTCAACTTTTTGTTTCCACTTTCCGTTTCTCCTTATCAGCTTATAGTTCTGCATCAATGTTTCGGCTTTAATTGCAAAGATGAAACATTTATATTACTTTTTTAAAGGCATTTTTCAAGTAAGTTATTATTCACATAGTTTTTAAAAAAGCGCTGAATGTTTGAACTGTAAATCATATACCTTATGTTTAATTCAATTCAATTCAGTTTATTTCTATAGCGCCAAATTCACAACACATTTCATCTCAAGGCACTTTACAGTTCAACCAGATCATCCAGTCAAAGTGATTCAAAGTTTTCTATCTAAGGAAAACCAGTTGATTGCATCGACTCATTGACTCAAATGCAATCCATCACACTAAGCATGCTTGTAGCGACAGTGGAGAGGAAAAACTCCTTTTAACAGGAAGAAACCTTCAGCAGAACCAGGCTCTGTGTGAGCGGCCATCTGCTGAGGCCGACAGGGTTTCAAGGAGACAGAAGCAGAGATACATTTTATCGCTGCTGCACTTTAAAAATGGAAATGTCTTGAGAGCTATACTGTACAAAATTCCTTTTTTTATACACTCTGTGTGTACTAAATGACAGTAAAGTCTTTCTAAGTCTATTTAATGTTTATTAATTAGATTACAGTTGATTTAAAGGTATGGAGGGCGATCTTTTATTTCCGGGTGGATTATCCTAATAAGTGGTCCTCCTAATTGTCAATCATTGTGGTGATATGTTTACGTACACTGAAAAAATTATCTGAAATTAAGTAAAAATGTCTTAAATCAAATGTATTTACCCTTAATTTGAGCAGGTAAATAAGAAA